AAAAAAGATCGAGGTTCTCACTCAACGCTTGCTGTGCCCAGTAAGCATATCCTCTTAACAACCGCAAGCCTGATCTGTGAAAAAAAGGCGGCACAACTAGGAGGCAAGAACAGGTCGTACGAATGCAGAACGCCAAGGATCAAACCTCCTTTTAACTTTTACAGTTTCGTGCATTGCACCTAGCATTTCTTGGTGTCACGGTTCGCGTGGATCACGCCTGCACATTGCGAGGAACCTGTCTAACCACATCATGGCTTGAACAGTATCTGCACCCTTGCCGCCAATCCACGGAAACTGATTATATAGGTTTTTTTGCAATTCAGATTGCTCTTCGAGAAGTGTTTGAGAGTGGAGTTCTTCGAGAATGCCAGCTGCCACATGGGAAACCAGGAAAACGCCCTCGAAAGACGTTCCTCAACAGCCTTGCTTCTATTCTCATCGCCATCAAAATACGTTAGGCGGGCCAAGTAAAGCAACAAGCTACCCACTAGGTCACGACAAAATCCGTACTTCAGTGTGTGGAATTTGTCAACTTTGAAAAGAAAGGCGGCTTGGCGTCTGTGAAAGGAGGCTGCGCCAGGGCAGGCTCAGTCTCCCATGGGGGAGTTTCAAAAAGGGTTTGGGACCAGGCCGGATTGTTCGCCACATCCTCGAAAGGATGATCACTGTCGCCAGCAGGACAATAAGGACGCATTCTGTTGTCATAATGGGTTCCCACATTGCCGCGGTATCTAACAAAGTTCGCGGCTTCGTAATGTTCTTCAAAGTCGCCCTTGCTTCCGACACGGTCTGCTTGGCACGTGGTCCATTTACTGTCACGCCCTCTGTAAAAAGGAGCTGATGATCGTTGGAGATTTCCTGCAGCAGTGAAGAGGATGCCACCATGGCCTTGCTTGGCGGCTCTTCGGCTCTGCCGTATTCTGTCAGCTTTGGATCCCGCATTTCTTATTGCTTCCGGTAAGCCAAATCCAGATTCCCAGCTATAGCAATAAACGGGTGACTTTTGATATCCGTAGACAGATTGGCAAAACCATCTGGCGCTCTTTCCAAGCAGCACCGAAAAATGACATGCTGAAGGGGAAAATCTTTATACCTGCTCCAGAAAATCCGCAGGAACTCTTTTGAGTCCTCCCCTTGGGGGATCCCTCCGAATATTAATTAATCTGGCACGCTTTTTCAGTAAAACCTTGAAAAGGCACTGACCTTCAGGCAGGGAATATCAGCCGGCCCCGCTCCCGATTCTTCCCCAGGTGGACTTTCAACATGCAGAATCGAGATTGGAACACGGATTTAAAGACCGTATCTATGGAAAATTCGAAGAGAACCTCTTTCCCCGTGTCAGTTTGACACCTTTGCTGCTGCATTCACCTCCGAGGTGTTGCAGCCGGATCTACGAAATGTTTTGGCTGTTCGTCCCACCTCCCATGCTACTGCTTGGGTTGTGTTTGGATTCAAGTGTTAGTCTGCGTGCATGATTGCAATGTAGGGAAATTTAATTACAAACAAGAAAATGTACGACTTCAGGTGTAGGCCTTTCTACAATAATTGCTCTATATACTCAAGAAAATCCTGATAGACTTCTTGTATGTCCAAGCCTTGCATCAGAATGTTTCGCTAATCTTGGCTCAACAAACATGTTTGGGTTCACCGCGTGACCAGGGATATTGATGATTCAGCAAATAAGGGACTACAAAGGATAAGACTTGAAAGTACTCTTTAACAGATAGCCCAATGAACTGTTCTAGACGAAACGCCTTATAAAGCCCTAAAGACCTCAAACCATTTAAACCCGGTATATACCCCATATAGATAGATAGACATGTAAATATACATATATATGTATGTATATATATATATATATATATATACAGGGCCCAAGTGACCCAGCAGCGGGTATCTTGAAGGCCCCAGTACCGCACGCAATGGCCGCATAGCGGAAGGCGGTACGCCAGTTTGCAGCTGCCTGGGCAGCTGCAGGGGGGCAACAGCCAGACCTACAATTGGGATTCCATGTTGGTGGGCAACTACACCAACACCCTTGTGCACACCGGCTTCGAGTTCCCGACTTACAGCCGCCACGGCTCCAGCAAGAAGCTGTTCGCATGTGTGGATGACGAACATGTGACGCTCAGAGTGGCAGTGTTTGATCACCAGGGGCACTTGAAGGACACCATTCCCACAGGACACGAACACTTGGTCGTTGTCCGGCTCTTCTTGACCCCGGAAGAGCTGCAGCTGCTGATGGATAGCGTCCCGAAGTGGGATATGGCCGGTGCCATTCCGTGCACCACAAAATCGAACATGAGCGAGATCGACCTCTTGGTTTGCAATAAGGACCTGGAAACCGACGCCAAAGCCAAAAGCATGGTGGGTGCCGTTAAGGATGCTTTCCGAAATGGTGCTCTCGGCTGGATGAGCTGCTTAGCCAACATCAAGAACATGTTGGCCAAGGTGTATCCGGAGCAAAACGTCTACGCCAATCGTGGCTACACCACGAACATGCACTGGATCGTCGGCCCCAATGCCGTCTTCCTGAGAATCATGATGGCTATGATGGAGCTGACGGAGATGGATGCCGTCCCCATTAGGGACCACTGGCTCGACCACTTCGAGATGGAGGCCCACGAGATGGCCGATAATGCCATGGCCATCCCCGAGAGCCAGTACTTGGGCGACAGTTGGGACCTGCTCAAAGCAATGATGCCGACTTACTTGGCGGAGCACATCAATAGCAATGCCTTGTATAACCTCAAGCACCTTGGACCGAGGCGGTGTGCGATGCATTCCACAGCATGGATGGCGGCAGCATGATGGAAGGGATGGCCTTCGATGAGCCATTCGCCATGATTAACATGGATGCGATGTCAAGGAACACTAGCAGATGAGCCGTTTCAGGTTTAGTCTGCCTCTTTCAGTGGTTCGGCACGCGTGGATGTGTAAACGCTGTCACTGCACATGGATGCGTGTTTGAACGGGCGCGGCGATTTTTGAATTCTGTTGTGTGGGGCGTAGCTTGAAGTTGGCCTCTCCCGTTCTTTGGAGGAATATGCTCAGGCTAGATATAATATAGTTTCGCAGGTGTCAGCTGTGACTGCATGTCTGAGTGGAGTCTGCTAGAAGCAACACTCAGGAGCCTTGAAGTGTTGGTGCGCTTGCAAACTGCAAACGTCCTTGTTTCGCCACGGCACTTATGTTTGCCACACCGCGCTAAATAGCCCAATGTCGTAGCTTGCTTGTTGCCTGCGGGATTGCACTTCGGTTTGTGTGTTCCCGTTTTCCCGTCGTTTACGAAGCAGCGCGGAGTCACAATGACCACGCTGAGAGAAGTAGTAAGTTTGGTTTTGTGGCAGGATGTGACGTAACCGCTTACGGTTTTTTACGTAGCTGCTGTGCAGCTGGCCGGGTCTACAGCGGTCCGCCTTCCCTGCCTAAACCCTGATGTGCCAGATTTCTGCTCGGCTTGTGTCAAACATCAGCTAGTGCATACTGGCAGTCAGTGGTTTCGTTTGCAAGTTAATTAGGCAGCGAACTCCTCTGAATGCTTGGAAATGGAAATGGAAAAAAAAATATATATATATATATATATATATATATATACGAAGCCTCAAGGACGGACCACGAGGGTTGCAGCCCGCCATCCTTTCAGTGCTGGGGTTTGGGGCGAAGGAATTAGGGTTTAGGATTGTGGGTTAGGGTTTGGGATCAATGCTCAGGGTTTCTCATTGAGGAATCCAAATCCCAGCCCCCTAAGAATGAATATTGAATATCCTCTCAGTATATCATGCTATTATGAGGAGATTACCCATGCAACAGAAACTCAGGCTGTAGCCCTTGATCTTCATATTGGCTTTCTCTACACTAACCCTCCTATACCTCATGCAGTCCCCTGCTTTCCTCTTATACTTGTAAAAGATGATGTAAGGGTATAGTAGAAAGAAAAGGGGAAACGAGCACCCATTAATAATTGGCAGTGGAATTACAGGCAAGCCACCCCATCTGCAACACTCTGTGCCAGGGCTTCTAAAGCGGATGGGAGTTCAGCAGGTGGTTCAGTCCCAGGCACGACTTGCCAAGGCAATTATGAGAGGGGAGTTTGGGGGCCCGGACATGTTGCTGTATTACGTTTGCAAACATTCTCTTCCATCCGCATGCTGCTGTTCCACTGCCTGATGATCATAACATCAGATCGGGATCCCTAGAACTTGGAAACGCCCAAGCTCCTTCTGAGCTGGAACGCAAGAGACCTCATATCTGAGCCTGCAATCTGCCCCCATCATATCAATATTCTTGAGATGGCATCTGAAGCTGATTCGGTTCCCCTACTTTTTAGCCGCCTTCTTCTTTGGCGCCTGGGACTGAGGAGGCTTTTCCTCCTGCGTTTGCTTCCTCCTTTGGGCGCGGCTGCTTGGCTGTGCTTGGCCTTGAGCGTGATCAGGGTCCTACACAGGGAATCATGGTACATTTTGCAACACAGTCTTGTGAAAACGCTGAGTTGCAAGGGCTTACATGGAAGCAACACGGCCGGTTTTGTGACGGCACTGCGTGAACTTCAGTCCACCACTTGATTTTGTGTTTTTAACGCTTTTCTTGTCTCACTCTTTGTGCCCTCTATAGTGGGCGTTTCCTCACTCCGTTTTTTTTGTAAGCCCCGATGTTTCATCCTTGTCAAGGTTTGTTTGACTTTTCGGTTCCCTCCGTTTTTGCATTGCTCTTTCCACATCCTGGCTTCATCTGGCTTCTTCAACTCTATGGGAATTGGCCATATGGCACATGTGAAGCAGACCTTTCAAGTTAGTTTCAAGGCACGGGTGCAATGTTGCGTTCCTGCATTTGCCGAAGTGGTGGTCTTCTTGTTTGCTTCGTCCTGTAGAAAGCAGGGGCATCGCAGCCTGAAGTGCTTGGCATGATTCGCGGCATGATTGTTGCCGATTGACAAGCTGTTGGCTTTCGTGCTGGCATCTCTGCATTTTGCTGTTGCGTCCCTCGCTAGAGTTGTCATCATGGACGCTGCACTCAATGGAGCAGTTGACAAAGCCGTCAACGTGTTCATGGACCTGGACCTGGTCCCCACGGTGGTCAGCGCAGACATGTTGCACAGCCACTGTCGCGAGCTCATCTCCGATGTTCTTGAATGGGAACATCAGAAGTACGTCCAGGACAAGGTCCAAGTGGAGGGCAATGACGTGCAACTGCTACGAGTCCAGGTCCATGGCGCGTGGGTCAAGGTCTCAGACGCCGGCAACCTTCCCGAAGGAGCCGACGAGTCAACCCTGGTTGACTTGAGAGCTTGCCTGGGCACAACGCGACCGCTGCACTACGCGCAGACCGCCCTGAACGGCATCCTCATGTCCTTGCCACTTGTTCTGCAAGCCCGTACTGACTGGTACGCGGCACATTTTATCCATGAGCGATGGCTCTTGGATAATGCATCCCGCCGTGAGGATGAGCAGGTGAACCGAGAATTTTGGGACTTGGATCGCAATGAGATGCTGAAGGACGTGAGCATTTCTTTATTCGTTCGCGATGCTGTTCTCAGCAGATGTCCGTTCCTCCCCGATCCCACACGGGAGGCCCTCGAGCACGGAGGGTTTGTTCTCAAAGAGGACCTTGATTTGTTGGCTTTCGACCCACGGTGGGATGCGTACGGAGTTGAGAACCTGTACAGTCTAGTTCCAGCCCCGTTCCTAGACGTCCGGAAGATCGTCCGGGACCGGGAGGGCTGATGCGTCGGCGGACAGGGGATGGTAGCTGTGAGCTCATTCATAGCACGCATCCCGTATATCATCAGCCGAGACTCATTGTTGGGTGTCAAAAGAATGACTGAACTGCAGATTGCCTGTGCTGGACCTCTTCCTATCGACATACTCGGCATGTGACATACAGGAGCTGTATCATAGAAAGGTCGAGACTCGAGACTTCTGTCGCAGACAAGCTTGATTGGTGCTGCGGTTAAGTTAAGCTGCAATTAATCCCTGTGGCCAGCCTGTGGCTGCGGCTGCCCATTCTGGAATGCACGCGGTATGGTCAAGTTTCCGCTCGGTTGTTGCCTATGTATGAAACAGTATGGTACGTTTAAAAGATAATGCTCCTTGCCGAGGATGGGCAGAGAGGACGGCGGCCGTGGCGGTGACGATGACCAACAACCGCACGACGACGACATCAACGTGGACGTGTCTGCACTGGTGAAAGCAGCAGCCTCTTCAAATAGAGGTTTCTGTTCGGTTCGTTTTGGACCTCCAAGAGCATGTACAATCTTCAAAAGCTCTTTATAGATAGTTGGAGGTCGCTTCAAGATGTGTCCCGCCATTTCTAAACAAAAAACCCAAACAGTTCTCAATAACATCAAATAGTTTCAAGATATTTCAAAAATATATAGCGTCTGGCAAAAGAGGCGAGTAGAAACAGTTGGAAACCGCTTCCAGCCGCCTCCCGCTGTTTATACATGGCTACCCAAATTCTATGTACAGCTTCCAAGATGTCACATATCCCTGAAACCAATAAGGAGGCTGTTAGTTGCAGCAATACTTGCGTGTTTTGAATGTATCCAGGAGCACAGCATTCAACCACTCAAGGACTGCTACAACCTCAGATGAGGAAGCAAGCAGTGCATGCTTTGTTCTGCCTTGTTTGTCACCTTTGGACGTTTCCGCCAGTGTCTTGGCACCCCGTGCTCCGGGCCGGCATGTAGTAGTGCAGGTGGGATGTAATGATTGCTTTTAACTTTTGCCACACTTTGAGCTCTCTTTGCCTTAGCCCCAAATTTTTTCAAAGCGGAAAGAGAGGGGGGGCTCACAAGTGTTGCGTGCGGACTATGCGTGAGCTGAGTCCCCGAGTTGACTTGGTGCCCATACGCTGCCGCTGCAACTGGCGATCGCTAGTTCTGCGCACATACTGCAAGCTGCGAGTATTCTACATATGCGCCGCATGGGGACTGGCAGGTTCAGGTTGCAGCGACTTCTGAGGGAGCCGAAGCCACGACGTGAGAGGGATGGCACGTCCAGACAGATAGACAGATAGATAGAGAGAAAGAGAGAGAGAGAGAGAGAGAGAGAGAGAGAGAGAGAGAGAGAGAGAGAGAGAGAGAGAGAGAGAGAGAGAGAGAGAGAGAGAGAGAGAGAGAGAGAGAGAGCGAGCGAGCGAGAGAGAGAGAGAGTGAGAGACAGACAGACAGAGAGCAGCCAGGTGAGGGCTTGAGCAGTGTCTACTTCTGTGGAGCATGGGAGCAACATTTGTGCGTAACTGTGTGCTAGACCGACTGTGCGGCGAAGCTGCGACCCACGCAACTTTATTGTGAAGCCTCGGCCCCCATCCGCCTAAGACCCGTTCAGACTAAACTGCCCAAAGCTGCCCTGGAGTTGCTCAGAGAGGCTGGTTCCGACAGAATCTCCGGAAGGGTCGAGCTCGTTGACCCTGGGCTTAATTCAGCAACCTCAGGGAGTACTTCATTACGCCTGCCCAGGGCTGCAATAGGAGCGGTGCTCTTCACTACAACATTTAAAGTCTGGATCGCGACCCCAACACGCCCCATTCCTGTGATTGTTGACACTTTTGACAGTCCACTGTCCCAAACTGACGACAATTACAAGGATCACGATGCAACACTCCTGCAACACTCCTGCGACACTCCGGCGACACACGCGAACGCTTTGTGAACGCTTTACGAACGTATTGCGGATGCTGGCAAACATTCGCGGACACAACGCAACAGTTAGGATCACCTCCTGGACCCCTGCACCCCAACCTTTAAGAAAGATTGGAGCCCTTTTGCGGAGCATTCGGGAATAAACTATCAAGGACCCAAAAGAATGAATAGGAGTTTCCGCGTACTTAGGCTGACTTGAACTTTGTGGCTGAGTCCTGCTCTGTGCAGCACAGCCAAGGCTGAAAATGAAGAGGATTACAGCGAAGCAGTTGCCGCGCAAGCCCCATCCGTTAATAGCACATGCGGCCTTTCTGCCTTGTTGAAGTTCTTGTCAACCCTACCGAGACATGGCAATCTCTGGATCAGCGATGATTACGTCATACTACGGCACTAGCAGGGCGCATTGCCTCGGCCCCTTGCGCGTCGAGATGGCGTTGCTTTCTTGAGTTGAAGGCCTCTGGAGGCCCACATGGCACCCGAGTTCCTGTGTTTGCATTCAGTATCTCACTTTTTGTTGGTCCGTTGTTTCGATCTACCGATGCCAATCTGGAAGAGGCCTTTAAAAAGATCAAAGCCTGACGTGTGTGCATGGGTAATGAACTTCCCGGATGCTGCCGGCTGCAGGGCCCGCCGATGTCCAACAGACAAATATTCACTATTCCCCTGAACTGCGGTTGGAAGCTGGCCACTGCTACCATGTCTGGTCGTGCCATTGCAGTGCAACTTTGCGGAGCCACTGCCCACAAAGAATGGTAGTCCTTCAAGGGCAGATGGATGCTCATGTGCCGGTGTGTCAGTCAAGCAAGGGTGAGTTGCCAAGATTGTGCGATCTGTCCTTTTATAGCAGCCTGGGCAAACGAAAAGAACCAACCAGTGAACGAGAAGCGGTTGATGTTAGAGGATGACTAACTTGTCGGCTGTCTTGCAGCGCTTGCCGCACGCTGAACTTCAAACAACTCCTGAACCTAGGGCACATGTTGGTCCCACAAAAGTAGAGACATCCTTGATGCACCTGTTGTTTGTCACGATCAGGCTAGACAGGCCATTGTTGCTGCCACCCAGTCATCACAGATATCCTGTAATAAGTGCTTTGGCCAGCAGAAGCCCGCAAGGCCAGTGAGGCGTATGCACGGCAGGTTTGCCCAGTGCACCCATGAAAGAAGAAGCGCTGAACAAGCAGGCTTGGAGAATTTAGTGTGACACCGGCACATGCTGAAGTAATGCCAACAGTGGATCCCACCAGGTCACACCAGGTCGCTTTGGGGCGGGTTAAACTTAGCCGCTGGTTGAAGCTGCACACAGCCGGCTGTGCTTGTCGCAGTTCAGGCTGAAACAAGAAGGCTTCTTCAAGTTCCGAGAGCGAACCACTCAGCGCCGCGCGGCCTGGCCGGCTCCACAATCGAAACCCCTTGGGGCAAAAGGGACCTGAAGTGGCTTAGCACAGACAAATGCCACCAACAGTACCGTAATATGTATCAGCTCTCCTTAGCTAGATCTGCAAAATGTAGAGTGGGCTCATGAAGAGAGGCCTGGCGACTACCTGGTCCAAAACGATGGGGTGGTGTACCCAATCTGCGCAGAGGAATTCAAATCCGAGTACAAACCTTTGTGCAACTTGTTGGCACCATGCACATGCTGGAAGCATTCCCCGTGCATTCCTTCTGGTCGGATCCTTGAATCTTTTGATTCGCCCTTGGGCTTTCAGATTGTTAGGGCGCAAGAGCAAGACGTCTCGCAGCCGCTCCCGTACTCGCTGCTTGGATGCATTTTTGATTTGATCCCTTCCCTCTTTCATGAGGGGTGGGGTAGGCAGAGACTTTTTCATTCATCATCGCTCACCTACTGAAAGCGTCTCAAGCGACTGAGTCGCGAGCGGATCAGGCAAAAGGTGATGTACCAGCCAGCATCCCATTCTGAGCACTGCAGGAAGTAGCCCCAGTGTTTGTCAGAGCAGCCAGATAGGTCTCCGTAGCTTTGTAGTCATTGTAGTCTCAATAGCTTTGAGCACTGAGCCAATAGCGTTCAGGCTCCTTCAAGGATCTCACCGCTTGGATCTTGATGCGTTGTGCGCAAGATTCATGAAGCCATCATCCTCAGGAAAGTGTTAAGACTCAAGAGTGAAGCGCAGTCCACGCTGTTGCTGTGTTGTCTTCAAGCTTTGCAACAGCCAAGTACACAGAGCAGCTAGCTTTCTTATAGATGTCTCTTCCAGGCGAAGAAGTTCTAGCAGCTTCACCATAAGAGGCAAGACGCAGGTCGGAAATCCTGCATCCTTTGCCCGCCATGGTTCTCTGTCTTGACGTCATCCCAGATTTTGTGTGGACATTGACATTGCTGGAGAAGATCACCCGGGCTGTGGCTGTGCTACAGGCTGGTTCGCGTGTGAGTCTGCCCCAGAGTGGTCTGCACTGCTTTCTCTGCTGTGCTTTGCCAACTTGTGGCGCTTCTGCTCTGAAGGAAAGCTTGCGAAGGGAGCTGATTCTTCCCTCCGTCCCTATTTCCTGACGCTCTCAGTGCACGCTCCTTATGCTGGAGTCAGGTTCTGCTTTAGAGACAGTCATTTGTCTGCGCAGAGCTTTTTGTGTGACTGCTTGCTTTGACGAATAGCTTTAAGCTTTGCCGTTTCTAGTCGAGCAAGGGCCCGCCCTTGATGAGAGCATCTTGCAGAAGGTCGTTTTGCGGCCTAGCTGTGTGCATTCACCTCGCGGGCGTGCGATTCTCTCTCAACATGCGCGTCTTCTGCACCTCCGCTAGACCGACTTCCTGTCAGTGTTTCGGCAGGCGTGGCATAGAATCTCTGCAGCACAACCTTCTCCACCGTCGAGCGGTGGCAACGTTGTGACAAACCTTGTTCATTCAACTGCAGCCACATGGCTTCAACTGCCCCATTGACTAAGCTCATGATCAGACCAGTTGCCTTTCAGTCGCCCCATGTAGTCCTCATCCAAGTAGGTGTGGACCATTCTCGGATTCATACCTGATCTCAGATTTGGGGCTAACGGCACCTGACATAAGATTCCTAGATTGTATGCCTGCAAGCAGGGGTAGGGTCTCTGATGCCATGATGGCAACCTCCTTCAG